AAAAAAAAAAAAACATGAATTTTTATGCATGTGCGATAAATTCGAAGCAGTTCTAACAACATAAAATGTTGAACCATAATTTTTTTTGAATGCGAATACTCAAATACAACATTCATGCGAATATATGCGAACGCGGTACATAACGCTATGGCTACTAAATGCGTCCACAAGAAAGCAAAATCATAATTCAAGGCAAAGGCAACTAGATTATGGTCGTTATGATTTGAAAAATGTGCGAGACGCTAAGATGCGAAAAGATTATGGCCAATGCGTTAGAAAGAGATGAAGCGACAATGTACACACAAATACTGTAGTGTTACAGATTTACACACTGTTCGCTCTTGACCAGTTGTCAACGTCACATTTGGCTCTAACAAGAGAAGTTTGAGTGTGGTGATCAAGTGCAACTCACTTTCATATTAGACATCGAACAGATAGCACGCAATATTCGCCGCAAAAATTTTTTTTATTATTATTTTATTTGAATTTTTATTGTGTTTTCACAGCAAAATTGAATTCAAGTATTTTTTCACTAAAATAGTTTAAAGCAAAGCAGTTTTTTTTTGTTCATTCGCATATAAAATCAAAGAATTTGTGAAGCAATTAAAAGAGAAAAAAGCGAATTGTGAATAAGCCAAAATATTTGGTGCAAGCGTGGTATGACGACTGCGGGTGCTAGGACGACGCGATTAGCAAGCAAAGTCATGGCTGTGGAAATAAATGCGTTAAAAACTAAGCGTAATGTTCACATTAAAACGATAAAGCGTATAGAAAAGCAAGTTAATGACGATACAGTTTTGAACGGATGGACAAAAAATGATTTAAGCGAACGCGTAAATAAATTAAATAGAATTGACGAAGAGCTATCACAAGTCACAATGCAAATCGTTTGTGAGGATAATGAGACCGCAACCGAAAATGCGTCTGAAGATGAAGAAGTTGAAGAGCTCCTAATGTCGCTTAAAGCTAAACTGAATGAACAATTGGATAAAATAAGTGACACAACGGTAAATCAAGCAAACCGAGTGACCCATGATAAAATATGCGTGCAAGTTCAACAAACTGATGCGACTGGAAATATTCCAAATACATGGGGCACATTTAGTGGAGATTATTCAAAATGGAAAGCGTTTAGAGACGGATGGATAGCGTCGATGCATGACAATAAAAATGTCAAAACATTGACCAAGCTTCGAAATTTATTGGCGGCATGCAAAGGCGAAGCAAGCGGAGTAGTAGGAGAGTGGGATCTCCTCGAAGAAAATTATGAGAAAGCGTGGGATCGTTTGCGTAGCATCTATGAAGACGATTATATGCAAGTTCAATCCTTTATGCGAAAACTGAACCAATTGCCACCAATGCGTAATGCTTCCAGTAAAGCGATTCGAGACACGATTGACATTGTACAAAAACACGTGCATGGTGTAAGCAAACACATAAAGATAGATGAAAAGCATCCGTACATTGTATTCAACGTTATCGAGCGTATGGACACTGAAACTTATAGAGCGTGGGAGAAGTACAGACCGTCCTTGGCTAAAGCAAACGCGAATGATACAGATGCGAACGATAATCCTAACAAAATAGGGAAGCATATTCCAACTTGGGCAGAGCTAGAGGAATTTCTAGAGGGAGAAGTCACAATCCGTGTGCATTCTGAAAAGAGAAATGAAGTGAACAATCCACAACCAAAGGCGATCAATGCAAAACAGATAAAGCGTTTCAATAAGCAAAACAATGCGAAGAAAAGAAGTTATCCGGACTTTCTGCAATGCGTATTGTGTGAGAACATACACCCAATATTTCGATGCGAATGTTTTATTGCAATGAATTTAAGTGGTCGAAAAAATCATGTTGCAGAACATCAGTTATGCGTGAGATGTTTAAGAAATAGCCATACCGGCCCATGCGCAAGAAAAGAGTGCAACGAACCTTGTCCAAAATGCAAGCCGGATAACAAATACCACAACAGCCTCTTGTGCCCAAATGAATCAAGCACTGTGTTAGTAGCACATACACGGCAGAACAAGTTAGGAAAGCGTAAACTTCATGATCAACAAAATCGTTCTCACAAAAGAGCACGGGTTGATGACAAAAGATTCAAACAATCTGATGCAAATCAAATGCAGTCAGGCGTACACAAAGTAGGTGAATGGGCATTAGTAGCAAATCAAAGCAATGCAATCAAGCGAATTAAAGATGCGAAAGACAACAAAGGTGAGTGTCAATATACAACTTTGTTAGCTACAATAAATATGCGTATGCAAATAAATATTGATTGGGATACTATTTGTAGATCCATAGCTGACACTGGTGCAACATTGAACGGTGTTTCAAAGCAATTTGTGGAAGAGAATGCGATGCGAACAATCAAATGTCAGAAATGCATCTTGGGAGTAAGCGGCCCAGAAATAATAAAGCGAAAGATTGTCACCGTAATACGACCATGGTTCGAAAGTGAAGTGCAAATAGCAACTGAATTTTATGTTTTTGATAATTTAAGCGGTGTATATCCAAATAATCACATTGAAGCGTACAAACATGAAATTATGCATTTAGGTCTAGCTGATGAAAATTTTGACATTCCGAGCCCAATTAATGCGTTGTTAGGTGCAGAAATATATGCAAATATTATAGGTCCTGATCTATATAAACATAAAGACGGTGCAATTATGCAATCAACGTCTTTTGGTCACATCATTTTAGGGAAATTTTTTGTTAAAAAAGATCAACAGATAAGCGATATGCCAATATCAAATGTAATGCAATGCGTAGAAAATGAAAACAATGCTATTGCTAACGCATTGAAAAAGTTTTGGGAAATTGAAGATGTAAATAAATGCAAAAATAAAGCGATATTAAGCGAAGAACATAAAGCGGTCGAAAATTTATTTATTAAAACACATTACAGGGATGCGAATGGTCGGTATGTGGTTTCAATACCGTTAAGACCAAACCACAAAAATCTAGGCAATTCCAGAAGCATTGCATTGCGACAATTCTCGCAGTTAGAACGCAGACTTGAGAAAAATCCAGAATTAAAACGTAAGTATGTTGAATTC